CCCCCCCCCCCCCACCTCAGTTCTCCTTGCCCCCGCCATTGATGTAATTCGACTTCAGTGTCACTAAAAGCAATGATAACTATAAATAAATAAATAATCAGAATTAAATGTCGTTATCAACATTTGAGGCATTTTACACTTTAAACGACTGTTAAAATGTTATACTGATTGTTATAATATACTCACCAACACCTTGACCCCTCAACTTTGAGGACACTATAAAGTGACCCACTGTCCTCAGGTCATCACTAAAGTCATGCGTCAGCATGCAACCTAAAGTAAGTCAACATTAATACTTAACAATACCAATCATACCAGAATTCTTACTCATAATCTATTTGCATTTTCAATATCCAAACCATAACCATGCGGTTTCTTAAGTGCATGCTTGTAATAATTAATTAATGAACATTTAACACACACACACACACACACACACACACACACACAGATGATTATATCTGAGGCTTGTATTGGAAGGTATTACTTTCTGTATGCCGGACGAAAATGTCTAGTCACTCGTTGTATTATGAATTAAGATCAATGACATTATTTTTTTTAAGTACAAAAATCTTATTCAATAACTGTTACGTTAGCGTGAAAAATATTACAGAATTCAAATTTTAAGTACATTAGTGCTTGAGTTGCACTGTTCTAGTAAGACTAAGCTTTTAAAAGGCGAGTAGAGAGCATGTTTCTTCTAGATAATGATTACTAAAATAAAGTTGGTTAAAGGTAAATATTTTTCAAAGAGACTAAATTTGTCTTTATAACCGCGAACCACGCCTTTGGACTTTCTATTGTTATCCATTTTTTATTATAAGAAGGCATTCTTTAAGAGATTGGCCCACCATAATGTATTTGCATCGGGAAAAAGCAATTTTATCTTACCTAAAAATAATTGATCAACGGGTCGCTGCACTAAGATTTGAATGTCGTATCCCAATTTAAATTGAAGGATTACATTAAATTAAAACGATTCATTTAAAACGACATGCCTTTCATTTGTCTTAGGTCATTTATATTGCATTTGTGTTAATATAATTCTTTTATCGACGCCAGGTACATTTATCTGATTTTTTTTTTTTAGTTTTTAAGATATGAATATAGGGAAATTAGTAGTTTGAAGTATAAAGGGCCTAAACAAGAAACAACCATTTGGTCGTAGAAATAAGATTATGCAGTCAATCAGTATTTTGTAATTGAGTGCGAAGTTTTAAGAAAAAAAAAATAAATAAACTCACCCACAACATCTCCGTCCTTTTCAGCGATAATCCAGCCATTTTCACACATTTTGAAGTGGGTCTCAATCACATCTTGATGCATATTCCACTTGGCCTCCGCTGTCAGTTTCCAGACTCCAGGGACGTCTTCCATTCTTCCTCGGCGTATAGTGACGCCTTGGCTCCCCACCGTGACCGAAGTAAAAGAACGACGAGACATAGGTCTGTGTGTCCGGAGTCTGTGTAATGGAGGGCCAATTAACACTGAAGGCAGACGTCCATCGCGCACTGCATTGAAGAGGCGTGAAAGCGTCACATGTCTTCGTACTGTATTAGCAAACATTTCTGTTATTGTCGTTGACTAATTCTGGATTGCTGTACAGTTTAAAGTTCTTTAGGATATGGTCCACTTTTTTCAAGCGATTGGATTCTATTAATTTCTCCTTGTAGAGGAAAAAGGAACTGTTCGTATGTACGAGACCCGTACTCACTTGCTTTTCTTCTTGTCATGTGATCTGTCTACCCACAGTCTTTTTATCTATCGCAAGACTTTTCCGAGCCTTGGGAGTTCTGCCTCTGCCAGTTGAATAACGAGTCGCCCAACCATTTCAAACCACAGATCACTTCATGTGCGGAGCACACTGTTAGGTCCTACGCTACCAGCTTAAGTTGACCTCTGGGCCCCGTAACTCTGCCCTGTGTCTCATGCAGGGCCACTGTGAAGCTAGATTGTTGACCCTTTTCATCTTTTGCGGAAATAAGAAGTTCGCGTGACAGGAACCGCGCGCCACAAGGGGTCATTGTAGTCCTCTCCTGTTTCCAGCATGACACTGCTATGTAGTAAATAATGCACTGTCCACGAGCCCGATATCACCATAGCAGGCCGAGCGCCAGCGAGGCATGCTATCGTGGATATCGGGCGAGGGGGTAACAGTGCATTATTTGTCATACATACAAAGGGAAATCGTGCGTGTTCCCCACCCAAAATCCCTAACTTTGAATAGAACACGCTGATATCACCGCGCATGGGGTGATATCAAAAAATGGACTTTCCCCGCGTTTACTGCCTAATTGCGGTCACCGTCCAATCATCTTCGTTTGCGTTAGTGGTTTTCTGAGTAGTTGGCCGATTTCCTGCCCATCTTCCGCACGTGGCATTCACTCCGTCTCATTCATTGTATCGGTCCCTGCAATCCTTTTGTTTTGATATCAGCCCCGTGGTATGTATGTGTAGATGATGTACAGGGTGCGTATATAAAAAGGCCGTTTGAAGCGTGCACTGCTTTGTGTCAAACTAAACAGGTGACTGAAGCACAGAAATGCGTCAACTGTAGGCAAGAAAACAGCTAATTGGACGGAGAATCGAGCAATAAAATGTTTTATTTCTCAGTTTAAATACTAGTCCAGTGGTTTAAGGCAAAAAAATGGCCAAATCGTGACATGGCGGATAAAAGCACCAAATTTTGCATGTGGATAGCTTTTGACATACTAAATCAAATTAGAACCGTAGCCCATGGAAAAAAATTACCGTTTGGCCAAAAAATCCAAAATGGCCGCCAATTTGTGAAATTCTGTAGAAATATATACATACCTATGTTGATTTTTATCAAATAATGTATTTTCTCAATGTTTTCCACATCCTTATTACCCATATTATGCATATATGTCAGATAACAAACGAGTGTCCTTGGACTTTTTGAAAAATCCAAGATGGTCGCCGTATGGCATAGGAATACTAGAACATGTACAAGGGTTTTCAACTAATGCCAACTATGAAGATGCATTGCCCACTATCTTACTAATTTTGTTTCTGAGTGCCTTATTACACAAATAATATATTTGTGGCGAGTAACTAACCTTTATTCTCAGGCATTTCGAGAAAAATCCAAGATGGCCGCCATATCAAAGGAATACTATTATACATATAGGGCTTCTTCTGCCATGGAGATATAATATTAATTGATAAATTAGGTTTGTTTCTGAGTATTTTCCACATCTTTTTAATCCACATAATATATATGTGATGAGAATGTTATGTGTATTTTTTTTGGAACACAAAACAAAATGGCTGCCATTAGCCATAGAAGGTGGGGTTCAGTTAATACCTGCGAGAGATAGGCTTTCATATAAAATGAAGCTAAATTCAGTTGTTTTTCTGTTTTATTATTATTATTATTATTATTATTATTATCACATGATACATATCTGTTAGGTAATTAATGTCCATATTTGATCATTTTGGGGAAATCCAAGATGGCCTTCTTTTTCCCATAGGAAAACTGTTGCATTGGATTTTATAGGCACTTCTAAGGCAAATGAGGGTAATCATGATATTTTGTCAATATAATTAATTAAGGGTACACACTTGTTACCCACCAGATAGATATCTCAAAGTCCAAAAAGAATGTGGGAAATACCGAGAAACAAAATTAATTTTATATTGAACCCAATGTCTCTCTGGCAGTAGTTGACTGTGCTACTCCTATTGTGAATTGCAGCAATCTTGAATTTTCTCAAACATGCAAGATGCACACTTGCTACACATCAGATTTATATAGAGTAGGGTTAATAAGGATGTGAACATGACTGAATATTAAACAGCTTTATTTCATGTTGGAATCAGTGTCTGAACTGTTCCATGAATTGGCACTTATGTGCATTTGAATGATATATTCCTATGACAACTGGCAGCTATCTTGGGTTTTCTGCGAATAGTACTCAAGGATACATACATTTTCTACACACACAGTCTTTCATAAGGATAAATAGGATATCAAAAACATTTTAAAACTATCTAAAGTTAACTACATTTAAATTGTACTCAGTGTATCTCTGGAATTATTTGATTATGTGTACGAATATTCTAATGACAAAAGGCAGACATCTTGAATTTTTTTCAGAATACCCAAAGATACACACATGCTACCAGTACAGACCAGGTATACATCATAGGGGTAATAATAAATGGAATGAAAAACATAAAATATTTTTAAAACAAACCCATGGTAATGTAATTGTATAATGAACCATATGCCTCTCTAGCAGCAATTGAAACCCACCCATTAGTATTCCTATGCCAAATTGCAGCTTTCTTGGATTTTCTCAGAATATCCAAGGATGCACACTATTTACCCACCAGATATATATCATAGGACTAATACGGATGGGCAAAACTTGATAAGCAAACAGAATTTCACCCTGGTAGTAGATGAAAAACCATGGATGTGCAGTTGTAATTCCAGTAGTATTCCTATGGCCAGTGACGGCCATCTTGGATTTTCTCAAAATGATCAAATATGCACATTTATTACCTGCTAGATATGTATCACAGTGTAATAACAATGTATAAAACACTGAAAAAAATAAACTGAATTTGATTGTGAATTATGTTTTTCCTAGCTGGCATTAGCTCCAACCCTTTGTAATACTAGAAGTATTCCTATGACATATGGCGGCCATCTTGGATTTTCTCAAAATACCCAAGAATACATATAAGTTACTCACCACATACATATAGTATTGGTGGAAAGGATGTGGAAAACACGCAGAAACAATCTTAATTTGGTAGTGGAAAATTAATCTTTCCAGTTGTCGTTAGTTGAATCCTGCGTATACTAGAATTCCCGTGGCACATGGCAGCCATCTTGGATTTTTCGTAGTTACTCACCACAAACATATCATGTGGGTAACCAAAATCTGAGAAACAGACTTAATTTGATAGTGGACAACGTATCTTTCTAGCTGGTATTAGTTGTGCACTAGTATTCCTATGGCTGTTTCTATGGCATATGGCAGCCATCTTGGATTTTTTCAAAAGTCAAAGGGAATTTGTTTGCTATCTGACATATATGAATAAAATGGGTAATTAGGATGTGGAAAACTCTGAGAAAGTAATTTATTTGATAAAAATCAACATAGGTATATGCATATTTCTATAGAATTCCATAAATTGGCGGCCATTTTGGATTTTTTGACCAAATGGTAAATTGTTTGAGAGGGCTACGGCTTTAATTCAATTAAGAATGTCAAAAGGTAGCTACATGCCAAATTTGGTGCTTTTATCCGCCGTGTCACAACTTTTTCCTTAAAGGGATAATAACTCTTCGTATGAGATCTATATTTCACAGTAAAAACATTGTGAATAACTCATAGAAATATAATATATTCTGTTTTACCACAAAAACGGCAGTTATAGCTATTATTCTGATATCTGAGCTTGTCTTTAGAGCACGTGACCTCCATTGATGGCCATAGTCTGTTAAAATCTCTTAAGAGATTTTAACAAAATACCAAACTTTTTAGAAAAAAACCAGGGACTTACTTTGAATGTAAAAATGGATTCATTAACCATTGGTAAGTATGGGAAAATTGTTGTTTACTCCAGGAAAATTAATTTTTTGGCCAAAACGAAGAGTTATTATCCCTTTAAGCCGCTGGACTATACGGTGCGCTGTACAACTAGACTTTACCTAAGCGTCCGAGCCTTGGATGCACTTTCTTTAGTGATGACGAACTTTAGCCTCAGAGTTCTTTTAAATGCTTTAGACAATAGAGATACGCGAAAGAGACACGTTTTATATATATAGATAATTTTTTTAAAGATCATAATAGCCAGTAGACTCGTACACAACTTTCTACTGCATGGACATATATGCAAGCTGTGGCGATATCACTTCATTAACTACCACGTGTACATGCAGTATCAATTGATTACGATATTTACAGGGTTGCTACTTAATATGGAATATTTTTTATCATTGTTACTTTTGAGTGCTGATTAAGTTTTATTTGGCTTGATTCATCAAAAAAGTATGTCACTGAGTGATAAAAACATCCAGTCATCTGTTGTGAGATATTTTGGTCGATGATATTAAATCTGACATAAGATGCCATTCAAAAGAAAGGGACACCCCCAGAAAACCATATCAACAGTTTGTTGTCAGTTTTAACTTTAAGCTAAGATATTAAAGAAATGTATAGCCCCAGGACAGTGATATGTTACACAGTCAAAGAACTCACTAGAGTAAATCATGAAAAGTCAGTAATTGCGGGTATGACCTCCAGCAGCCGCTTGCAGCGCCCTCATCCTACATGGCATACCCTGTGACACGTTTTTTAGAGTTTGGATGGAGATATCATTCCACGCAGTGATAT